TAAATGACACACTGGACCAAATGGACCTCAGACATATTCAGAACATTCCATCCCAAAGCAACGGAATACACATTCTTCTCTAGTCCCCATGGAACATTCTCCAGAATAGATCACATCCTAGGTCATAAATCAGGTCTCAACTGGTACCAAAAGTTTGGGATCATTCCCTGCCTATTTTCAGACCACAATGCTTTGAAACTAGAACTCAATCACAAGAGGAAAGTCAGAAAGAACTCAAATACATGGAGGCTAAAGAGCATCCTACTGAAGAATGAATGGGTCAACCAGGAAATTAAAGAAGAATTAAAAAAATACATGGAAACCAATGAAAATGAAAACACAACTGTTCAAAATCTTTGGGATGCAGCAAAGGCAGTCCTAAGAGGAAAGCATATAGCAATACAAGCCTTTATCAAGAAACAAGAAAGGTCTCAAATACACAACCTAACCCTACACCTAAAGGAGCGGGAGAAAGAACAGCAAATAAAGCCTAAACCCAGCAGGAGAAGAGAAATAATAAAGATCAGAGCAGAAATCAATGAAATAGGAACTAAAAGAACAGTAGAACAGATCAACGAAACTAGGAGCTGGTTCTTTGAAAGAATTAACAAGATTGATAAACCCCTGGCCAGACTTATCAAAAAGAGAAGAGAAATGACCCAAATCAACAAAATCATGAATGAAAGAGGAGAGATCACAACCAACACCAAAGAAATACAAACAATTATAAGAACATATTATGAGCAACTCTATGCCAGCAAATTAGATAACCTGGAAGAAATGGATGCATTCCTAGAGATGTATCCACTACCAAAACTGAACCAGGAAGAAATAGAAAACCTGAACAGACCTATAACCACTAAGGAAATTGAAGCAGTCATCAAAAATCTCCCAACAAAAAGCCCAGGGCCAGATGGCTTCCCAGGGGAATTCTACCAAACATTTCAAGAAGAATTAATACCAATTCTTCTGAAACTGTCCCAAAAAATAGAAATGGAAGGAAAACTTCCAAACTCATTTTATGAGGCCAGCATTACCTTGATCCCAAAACCAGACAAAGACCCCATCAAAAAGGAGAATTACAGACCAATATCCTTGATGAACACGGATGCAAAAATCCTCACCAAAATACTAGCCAATAAGATCCAACAGTACATTAAAAGGATTATTCACCATGACCAAGTGGGATTTATCCCTGGGCTGCAAGGTTGGTTCAACATTCGCAAATTAATCAACGTGATACATTAACAAAAGAAAGAACAAGAATCATATGATCCTCTCAATAGATGCAGAAAAAGCATTTGACAAAGTACAGCATCGTTTCTTGATCAAAACTCTTCAGAGTATAGGCATAGAGGGTACATACCTCAATATCATAAAAGCCATCTATGAAAAACCTACAGCGACTATCATTCTCAATGGGGAAAAACAGAGCTTTCCCCCTAAGGTCAGGAACGTGGCAGGGATGTCCACTATCACCACTGCTATTCAACATAGTATTAGAAGTCCTAGCCACAGCAATCAGACAACAAAAAGAAATGAAAGGCATCCAAATCGGCAAAGAAGAAGTCAAACTCTCACTCTTTGCAGATGATATGATACTTTATGTGGAAAATCCAAAAGACTCCACCCCAAAACTGCTAGAATTCATAGAGGAATTCAGTAAAGTGGCAGGATATAAAATCAATGCACAGAAGTCAGTGGCATTCCTATACACCAACAACAAGACAGAAGAGAAATTAAGGAGTCGATCCCATTTACAATTGCACCCAAAACCATAAGATACCTAGGAATAAATCTAACCAAAGAGGCAAAGGATCTGTACTCAGAAAACTATAAAATACTCATGAAAGAAACTGAGGAAGACACAAAGAAATGGAAAAACGTTCCATGCTCATGGATTGGAAGAACAAATATTGTGAAGATGTCAATGCTACCTAGAGCAATCTACACATTCAATGCAATCCCCATCAAAATACCATCCAGTTTTTTCAAAGAAATGGAACAAATAATCCTAAAATTTGTATGGAACTAGAAAAGACCCTGCATAGCCAGAGGAATGTTGAAAAAGAAAAGCAAAGCTGGCAGCATCACAATTCCGGACTTCCAGCTCTATTACAAAGCTGTCATCATCAAGACAGTATGGTACTGGCACAAAAAAACAGACACACAGATCTATGGAACAGAATAGAGAGCCCAGAAATGGACCCTCAACTCTATGGTCAACTAATCTTTGCCAAAGCAGGAAAGAATGTTCAATGGAAAAAAGACAGTCTCTTCAACAAATGGTGTTGGGAAAATTGGATAGCCACATGCAGAAGAATGAAACTGGAACACTTCCTTACACCACACACAAAAATAGACTCCAAATGGTTGAAAGACCTCAATGTGAGATAGGAGTCCATCAAAATCCTAAAGGAGAACACAGGCAGCAACCTCTTCGACCTCAGCTGAAGCAACTTCTTCCTAGAAACATCGCCAAAGGCAAGGGAAGCAAGGGCAAAAATGAACTATTGGGACTTCATCAAGATAAAAAGCTTTTGCAAAGCAAAGGAAACAGTCAACAAAACCAAAAGACAACCACAGCATGGGAGAAAATATTTGCAAATGACATATCAGATAAAGGGCTAGTATCCAAAATCTATAAAGAACTTACCAAACTCAACACCCAAAGAACAAAGAATCCAATCAAGAAATGGGCAGAAGAAATGAACAGACATTTTTCCAAAGAAGACATCCAAATGGCCAACAGACACATGAAAAAGTGCTCAATATCGCTCAGCATCAGGGAAATCCAAATCAAAACCTCAATGAGATACCACCTCACACCAGTCAGAATGGCTAAAATTAACAAGTCAGGAAACGACAGATGTTGGCAGGGTGCGGAGAAAGGGGAACCCTCCTACACTGTTGGCGGGAATATAAGCTGGTGCAGCCAGTCTGGAAAACAGTATGGAGGTTCCTCAAAAAGTTGAAAATAGAGCTACCATATGATCCAGCAATTGCACTACTGGGTATTTACCCCAAAGATACAAAAGTAGGGATCCGAAAGGGTACGTGCACCCCGATGTTTATAGCAGCAATGTCCACAAGAGCCAAACTGTGGAAAGAGCCAAGATATCCATCGACAGATGAATGGATAAAGAAGTGGTATATATATATATATACAATGGAATATTATGCAGCCATCAAAAGGAATGAGATCTTGCCATTTGCAATGACGGGTATTATGCTGAGTGAAATAAGTCAAACAGAGAAAGACATGTATCATATGACCTCACTGATATGAGGAATTCTTAATCTCAGGAAACAAACAGGGTTGCTGGAGTGGGGGGTGGGGTGGGAGGGATGAGGTGACTGGGTGATAGACACTGGGGAGGGTATGTGCTCTGGTAAGCGCTGTGAATTTTGCAAGACTGTTGAATCACAGATCTGTACCTCTGAAACAAATAACGCATATATGTTAAGAAAAAAAAAAAAGATAGCAGAAGGGGAAGAATGAAGGGGGGGAACTTGGAGGGGGTAAACGAACCATGAGAGACGATGGACTGTGAAAAACAAACTGAGGGTTCTAGAGGGGAGGGGGGTGGGAGGATGGGTTAGCCTGGTGGTGGGTATTGAGGAGGGCACATTCTGCATGGAGCACTGGGTGTTATGCACAAACAATAAATCATGGAACACTACATCTAAAACTAATGATGTAATGTATGGGGATTAACATAACAATAAAAAAATTAAAAACAAAACAAAAACCATTTTTTTTGAGAAAGTATATTTTTTAAGATTTTAATTAATCTCTACACCCAAAGTGGGGTTCGAACTCACACTCCTGAGATCTAGTCACATGCCCCACCGACTGAGCCAGCCAGGCGCTCCCAAAGAGGTACAGTTTAGATCAGCAATGCTATTTGGCTGAGGATGCTCTGGTGGCAAAGCTTTAGCACGATGCTGTTCTGTGGGGGCACCGGCACCCCCGTGTCCCCACAGAGCCTGACAGGGCTGCCCGGTCAAAAGCTGTGCCCCTTCTATCTAAGAACTTCTGAGAAAATAATATACAAAGAATTACATGCTTAAGTGAGGATAACCAGTGTTCAGCATGAGTAATAGATTTGGTTTCTATCAAAGGAAATAAAATATATCACAGTTTAACCGCAACATGGAAGACAAGGCATCTATTAAAAGTGATAGGAAATAATACAAGATGTCTACCTTTGTGGTAAAAAATACCCCAGAGAGATAAATCCGTTACATAATGTGATTCCATTTGGTATCTACAGAATCATGCTTTTAAACACAGCGTTGGTGTGATTCACAGAACCACCCTTCCACGTAGTTTGAAGTGCTTACATGAGCTTCGATGCTGAAGGCAGTGGTGAGAAGAGGAAGTCAGAGGTGGGGGGGCGGGTACAACCACCAGCTCCCTGACCCCTTTAAGAGCAAGTCAGCCTGGCTCCTCCAGCCAACACCAAGCTAAGAATCCTCATGCTTTCGCACCAGCCCTGAGGAATACATCCTGTTGCCCCCTGCACAGGCCAGGAAGGTGGACAGGACTGGCCATCCCCAGTCACAGATGGGAAGATGGGCCCAGATAAGGGAAGCTACGCAGCTAACTTCCATAGCAAGTGTCTGGATCTTCTGGCCAGAGTGTTCTCTTCTGCCACCTCCAGCTGCAAAAGCCTGAGGGGTGGCGTTTCCCCCTACCCCTCCTCATCTGGGCTATAAACTGGCCTTCATATTAAAAAAAAAAAAAAAGTAAGCATTAAGTTTGGGGCAGGAGAAAAAATTTCTAATAACAGTCAACATTTACTGAGTGCTAGCTAGGTACCATTCTAAGGATTCTTATCTTTTTTTTTTTTAAGATTTTATTTATTTGACAGAGAGACACAGCGAGAGAGGGAACACAAGCAGGGGGAGTGGAAGAGGGAGAAGCAGGCTTCCCGCGGAGCAGGGAGCCTGATGTGGGGCTCGATCCAGGACCCTGGGATCATGACCTGAGCTGAAGGCAGACGCTTAACGACTGAGCCACCCAGCGGCCCCAAGATTCTTAGCTGTTAATTTTCTCTAACACCCCTGTGGGGATGGGTATTCTCCCCATTTTACAGATGAGGAAACAGGCCTAGGGAAGTTGAGTAACTCAACATCACACAGCTAGTTAAGAGCCAGAAGCAGGGTTGTAACGAAGCAGCCTGGCTTGGGACTCTCAGGGGATGACTGGTATCCTAAAGACGGAAAAGAGGGAGTAGGCCAGAGCAGAGGAGTCCCTGCCCAGTGTCAAGGCCACTGGCCTGACTTGAGCGCCTCTGCTTCCTCTCGCAGCTCATGCCTACCAAAGACCTTCAGAAAAAGTCGAAGGCCAGATTTTGACCCCCCTACCAGATTATTCTATCTCTTCATCAGAAGCTGAACCCTACTCCCACCTCTCACCCCTTCCAACTGCTAGATCTACATGTCAGTCTGGAAAGGTCTTTGCTGCCAAGTCCGAGGTGAAGGCCCAGGTCCTACACGGGCAAACGAAGGTCAGCAGCCCATCAATTGACCTGTCTGGTGGCCGTGCCCACTGTGGCAGCCAGCATCAGGGCCAACGGGCTGCTCTGCCCACCAGGGCAGGGCCTAGTCCTGGGGTGCGAGGGAGGGGAAGGGGGGACTGGTGCTGAGAGCAGTAGCCCAGCATCCTTTAGCGGGAAGCTGGGAGGCTCAGAGCAGGACTGAAGAGCTCTTTTGGCCTCAGGAAATCTGGGCTCCCCTGAGCCACGAGGGCAGCTGAACAGCTTGCCTGGTTTTCTCTGGAATGCCAGCTCTCCTTGCTGAGAGGCAAAGTCTCCCAAGTTCAGTCTTGGGAGACACCGGACTCTACCCAGAGTGCGGCACGTACTACCCGTAGAAGAGGCCACGCTTCTCAAAGGACAGGACGAGGCTAAGGAAAACCCTTCGAAGATGAAATCATTCTAGTCGCCACAAACAGCTTTCCACCCATGCTCAGTAGGCCTGAGACGGCGGTTTATTGAGCCCCGTCACCCTCCGTTGCCTTCACTGGAACTCCTGCGCTGGGCTCGGCTCAGGCGCATGAAAACACCGACCCCCAGGACCAGGGCAACAGCCACCAGCAGGACCACCCAGAGGAGAGGCCCCGGGTTGGCGTTCCCGGGGGAGCCTGCCGGAAAGAGGTTTGAAGCCTTGCAGGGCTGAACGCGGCCCCTCCAAACGGTCTCCGTCCCCCGGACCTTTGTGAACACGCCCAGCAGAGCTGCCTGTCCACACAGAAGGTGGACTGCCTCTCTTTGCTTAGTTCCCTGCTGACTGCTGTTACACCATCTCCTGCCCGTACTATGGCCGAGCGTCCCCTGGCAACATACGGGGGCCAAGGCCTGAGGGCCGGTCCACAGCCCTGGTACCTGTGGGCCCCGGCAGAGGCTCCTGCCTGGAAGAATCCTCAAAGCCCACTGGCCCTGGAGAGCTCATGAGGTTCTGGGGCCTGGCAGCTTTGCTGTGGGGAGCGTAGGATCGTCGCTGTCCTGTGCAGGAGAGGAGTGGCGTCTAGCCTGCCCTCCAGCCCCTGGTTGCCCGGAAGCCAGGAACAGGCCTGCGGACATAAGAATGAAGCCTCTCCCCGCCCCCGTCCCCCCCTTCTCCCCAGGGTCCCAGCCCAGACTCACTCGCAGGCCCAGAGCTGCACACAGTGGGGCACGTCCCCAGCCCCGAAGGGGAGCAGGCAGAGACGCTGCAGAAGAAGTAAACCTGGTGGGAAGAGAGAAGGCCAGGGCATGGGGCTGGCTCAGACCCACAGTAGGAAGCACCAGGGCAGGGACCCAGGGTCCAGGACCCAGGCCAAGTCCACATTGCTGCCAGGCAGGCAGGCAGATGGAGGTCTGGCCAGGTGGACCAAGACCAAGACTGCAGCCCCTCCTGCTGAGGGTCAGAGCCGCAGGTGTGCCTTCCTCTTTCCCTGCGGCCCAAGTCTGCAGGGGAGTTTCTTGCAGGCAGGCAACGCTGCACATGACCAAGCCCCAGCCCTTGGCTGTTCCACCAATGCTCGCCTGACGGCAGAGGCCCCCCCGCCCCCGGGGAGTGCTGGCTTCCGAGGAGGGGCACTTCACCAGGCGGCAGGGGCAGATGCCCCAGGGACCGGGGGGGCCAAAGTGGGGGACAGGGTACGCTTGCTTCCAGAAACAAGGCCAGGGACAGCTCCCAGAAGGAGTAGAAGCAGGAGGCGTGGATGGAGTTGAACCAGCCCCTGGAGGCCCAACTAATGGATGCATCTTCATCCAGCAGGTGAGGGTCTCTTGGCTCCAGGAGAGGCACACAGTAGAGACAGAATTAAGCCACCCTAACAGGGCTAGCCAGTGAAGTCTGTCCACATCTGGTGCACGAACATGCAGCTCCTTACATACACAGAGGCCTGTGTGTAGCAATGTGAGAGGTGGGCACCGCTCAGCAGAACAAGCTATACAGTAGCCTGTGGCCTATGGGGGCAATTTGTGTGTTCTGTAGAAAACCTAAATATAGGGGCACCTGGCTGGCTCAGTTGGTTAAGCGTCTGCCTTCGGCTCAGGTCATGATCCCGGAGTCCCGGGATCGAGTGCAGCATCGGGCTCCCTGCTCCACGGAGAGTCTGCTTCTCCCTCTGACCCTCTTCCCTCTCGTGCTCTCTCTCAAATAAATAAAATCTTAAAAAAAACACAACAAACCCTAAATATATACCCAAAGCTTATGCATTTACCTACCAGAGAAGCTGCTTGGTTATAAATATTCAAAGCAGATTTACGTTGAACGTGCTATTTCTAGAGTCAGAAGCAAAGCCACTCTAGAACATTGTGACCAGGGTGTAGAAAGAGGGTTGGGGCATCTCCCTTCCTTCCTCCCTCTTGAAGCTCTGTGGTCGCCTCTGGGCTGATCACCTGCCACAAAGCCCCGTCTGGGACCTCTGTCTGCTATACCTCGCAGGGTGCTGGAGCACTTGGGGGACTAGCTTATACTGAACAGAGGGGGAGCGGGCATGAAGAGGCACGCGGCACTTCTTCCCCATCCCCGGAGGGGCCTCTGGGAGCCAGGGTCCAGGAGGGCGAAGGTGGCAACGATGAAGCGCTGGTAGTGGGATGGGAAGGACAGCTCTGCCCCATCCAAGGCTACCAGTCGGAACCTGTAGCTGTCACCGTCAAAAGGACACCTGGGAAGGAAGGAAGGAGGCCGCAGAGGGATAGGGGCAGCAGGTGGGGGGAGCCCCTGGGGCAGCTGGAGCCCCGACTGCCACTCAGTGAGGCTGCTGGAGGGGGCTGGCGCCGGGGGCGGCCTGGCTCTGTGCAGCAGCGGGGCCAGACTGGGGTCTGTCCTCTGCAGGAGCCAGACCCCCACTGGGACAGGCTCGCGCAGCAGCCTCATGAGGGGGTAGTCCCCCTCCCCGTAGTAGGAGCAGAAAGTCTCATCTGCGGGTAGAGGGGCTCGTGAGCCTCGGTGGGCTGTGTGGGGGGACGCGGGCAGGAAGAGAAGGCCCAGGGACCCCTTGCCCTTGGCGATCCGAAGCTGGAGCCGCAGGGGGCCGGACTGGGTCATGGGGGCTGGCGAGGGCGGCAGGAAGATGGACGCCCAGAGTGGCAGGAAATCACCAGTGTTGAGGTCAGGTGCAAGAGCATGCAGGGCAGAGGACACAGGGTCCTGGAGGCCAGCTCGCTTAGCAAACCAGACACCAACTACACGGATGCAGCAAGCAGGGCACGGTCCAGCCCGGCAGCCGGACGCCACCGCTCGAGCACGCACCAGGGGGACCTGAGCCCTGCCTGCTCATCTGCCCAGGACAGCTCAAGCTGGCCCCAGACAGCCCCCCAGTGTTGTCATGGTCCTCGCAGTGGTAGACGGTGGGCCACTGGGACTGGGGTCTCTTGCTGGCCTAAGTGACACCACACACTCTTAGTGGGGGCCCATGCCCGGCACCCTGTGTTCTGCAAGGGAAGCCGACCCCATCTTACCCCATCCCCCTTTACCTCCAGAAGGGCCCTCCCTTTACCTCAGAGAGGGAGCATTCCCGCCTGGGCAGGGCATCCCTGGGGAAGACGTCCTGCAGCTGGAGGCTGGGCCTGGCACAAACTAGGTGCTCACAGGCATTGGGGATTCCAGCCTGAGCGGAAGGCCTTGTCTGAGGAGCCACCTGCTTACTCCTATGGGCTCTAGCCGTTTCCCGTCCCTGCTCCCTTCCTCTGGGAGTCCCTGGAGCCCTGAATTCTGGCTAGCTCCCCCAGCTCCTAAATCCCAGGGTCTAAAGCACAGCGGACCTATCCCTCCACCCTCTGGCCTGTAGGTACTTAGAATTTTAAAGCAAAAGACATTTGGACCCGCACACAAGCAGCCTGCCCCAGCCCTCGTGGCAGGTAAGGTGGGGAGAAAGACCCCTGGGCATCCACTTGGGGCCAAGCGTGGAATTTTGTACCCAAATGTATTAGCTCTGACAGGGCGCCCAGGCGGAGGCTGGCGCTGGGGCCCCTGCACTTCAAAGGGAGCGGGCAGAAGCACAGCTGCCCTCAGGGCACCCCCACTGGTGTCCTAGGCACCTAGGGTGGTTCTGCCACCGGAGTCCGCGGGTCCCAGGGGCCCCCTTCAACCAGAGGCCCCCCGTGAGCTCCTGCCGCCCGCAGCCCCTCAGAGAGCTCCCGCTCCCGGGTATCTCCTGCCTCATCTGTGGCTTCGTGACCTCTGAAAGGAAGAGGCAGCAACACCCACACTCCCGGCCTCCGCTTTCTCCAGGGGCCTCAGTGCGGGTGCTGGAGGCTTAGTTTCCGAGTTTAGTTCTTGGAGGGATGAAGGCCAGCGCTCCCGAGGACCCCGGCCCGCCCGCGCATAGTGGTTCTGTCCGGTGCCGGCAGACCCCACTTAAGGCTCCCATCAGCCCTGACCGAGGGCCATCCTCCCTGCCTGTTGGGAAGGCCCCGAAGAGCCCAGCGGCTCTCCCAAGATCACACAGCAGGGAACAGAGTTTGGACATGAACCCAGATGGCTGCAAAGCCTGTCCTAAGCTCATCTGTGCCCCTTTACACCCAAGCCCACAGCCCAGCCTGTTCCAGAAAGGCCCCCCCTCACCAGAAGGTGCCATCCCGCGTGATGGAGCCCTGTGGCCCCGTTTGCGCCTCGAAGTCAGACACCAGCTGATTCTCATAGATGAGCTGGTTGCCGGCCACCTGTGGGGGTCACAGCTGGGTGAGCCCTCCCAGGGGGCGGTCCTGGGCACCCGCCCGTGGCCGCACTCCTACCTGGACCGTGGTCCCACAGGGGGAGAAAGGGCAGCGAAAGACCACGAAGGACCCGGTCTCCTGGGCTGGGGAGCAGCTGGTGGGGGCACAGGCCATGTGGATGTTGGCCAGTGTGATCCCATGTGCCAAGGCTGTTTCTCGGGACACCACCAGGACAAAGTGGCCATTTCTGAAGCACTGGACAGTTGCTGGGACAAAGGTGGATCAAAGAGACCAGTCAGGCCCCTGAGGTTACTGTCCGTGCCGCATGGACATGGGGGGTGGCCTGGGTGACAGTATTTAAGTGTTGCCCTGGGACTCGGGAGACCTGGATTCTCTTACTCTCTTTGTGCCAGTGTTAGCTCGAGTAACCCCTCGAAGGACCCAGATTTTCTCCTGCATGACAACAAAAGAAACTACAGAAGTAGAAGCACCACTGAATTTCTCTCTCAGCTGGGCTGTCCCAGGGGTGCTGGGCTGGCTCAGTTGGAAGAACATGGGACTCTTGATCTTGGGGTTGTGAGTTCGAGTCCCACATTGGGTGTAGAGATTACTAAAAAAAAGTAAACTTAAACTGGGATGTTCTAGACCGAAAGGTAGGGGTACATGTAAAGACCAGATCTATTACGGGGCACCTGGGTGGCTCAGTCGGTTAAACGTCTGCCTTTGGCTCAGGTCATGATCCCAGGGGCTGGGACCCAGCCCTGCGTGTCAGGCTCCCTGCTCAGCGGGGAGCCTGCTTCTCTCTCTGACCCTTCCCCCCTGCTCATGCTCTCTCGCTCTCAAAATCGTAAAACAAACAAACAAAAACAACTATTACTACTTCCCTGGGACGATGCTTATCAGCAAGCTGGGCTGTACGGGCACCCCATCTAAAGGTCCCTTCTGCAGGCTTTCTGGGGCTCAGGCTCTCCTAGGAACAGGGTGGGATGAGCTGCAGCGCTGGGGGAGGGGGGGCAGGGGGGAGGAAGCCCTCCTGGCGCTTCGGGATTCAGGTGTGGAGAGCTCTACCTGTGTTGCCATAGTAACAGGGAATCTCTCCGCCGTTGTCAAAGCAGCAGCCTGCCTGCAGACAGGCTTCCTCTGAACTTCTCACTCCACAGGGGATGGGTCTGGAGGACACCTGGCACCGCCCCGGAGTCAGACGCACACCTGGGGATGGGACAGAGCGGTGAGGACGCGAGAAAGGGCCACGCCGGGCAGCAGACTTCCAGGCAATGGAGGGAGTTGGCTTCCTGAGCCCAGTCAAGGGCGATCAGGCCGTCCAGAGTCCTACATACCTGGGTAAGGTGGCTCGTCCACCCCCCCGGTGTTCCAGGGTGCCCCACTGGGGTTTAACCTGGGATGGGTGGTGGGTCCAGGTCCGAGGGACGGCAAGGCAGGGGTTGCACAGACAAAGCCGTGCTCTGGGATGGGGCGGAGGGGCTGGGCCTGAGGACTGGGAAGGGAGAAGCCCATGGGTGGTGCCGGATGGGAGTCGGAGTCCAGGCGTGGCCAGGTTTAGGACAAATCAGAGTGACATCTTGTGTTGCATCAACTCGACCATCGGGCAGCACGGCTTCGATGAGCACCCTCAGGTGGGAGCGCCCATCCTGCAGGTGAGAGGGAGATGGGGGGGTGAGGTGGGCAGCGAGGGGAGGCCGCCCAGCATCCCAGGCAGAGGTGTGGGGGGGTCAGGCAGGGAGCTGATCTGTGGGCTGGTCCCAGGACCTAGCCCCCCTCACCCACCACCCACCAGCCCAAAGGCAGGTGTGACAAGCACAGCGATTGGTCGTGAGCTCCCTCTCCAGCCTGAGGCTGTGTGAGGTCCAGCTGACTCCAAGCTGTGCCCACCCGCCAGCCCCCACTCCACCGTGGGCCTGGAGCAGGAGCGGTCCCCACCTTCTCCAGCACGTGGCAGCCTTTGTAACCCACAGAGAAGACAGCAGGTGCCCGGGGCTTGGTGCTGACCCAGTGGTAACAAGCAGAGCAGTTGTTTACCTCAAACCGGTTCCCAAATTCATCTGGGGCAGGGGAGAGAAAGAGGGAAGGGAAGCATCAGAGATGTTTAAGGGTGAGGGGCACTTGGGGGGCTCAGTTAAGCATCTGCCTTTGGCTCAGGTCATGATCCCAGGGTCCCGAAATCGAGCCCCACATCGGGCTCCCTGCTCAGCTGGGAGCCCGCATCTTCCTCTCCATCCGCCTCTGCTTGTGTTCTCCTTCTGTGGCAATAAATAAAATCTTAAAAAAAACCCCAAAAAACCAAAAACAACGTTTAAGGGTGAAGCCAGAGGCTGTTGGCATCTGCTGAGAAAACCACACTCAGGAGTGGGAGCCCCCAGCTTTAGCCTTAGCTTTGCTACCAGCTTACGGTCTGTAAGGGAATAGCTTTAGCTGGTCTTTGACCTTTCCAGCCATGGTTCCTGGTTAACAGCACACAGCAGCAAGCAGGAATGAAGATATGGGGGGCGGGGAGCGCAAAGGTTAGCAGAATCTCAGGCACCGGGCTGGGTATTCTCCGCCTGTTGCCGTAACCTCGGCTCCCCACATTCTGTGGAGGACGCTGCTGAGGTGCCGGGCGGGAGCTTTGCCAGGTGCACACGATGAGGGGCGGAATGAGGGGAACCTGGCATGTTGTAGGTTATCTGCCAGGTTAACCGGTTGTTGCAGTCATTGGGGGACGCATGCTAGGGGTGCACCCCCTCTTGTCAGCCCAGAGCACCAGGGTGCTCCCCGGGTGCAGGCATGCCCCCGGGACTCCTGTTCAGTGCACAGGGCAAGGTTGGGGGGTCTTCATTCCCATCTTACAGATAAGGAAATGGGTTCAGAGAGATCAGGTAAGTTTTTCAAGAACACAGAGCTTAGAAGCTGCAGATTCAAATCCTCCTTTGAACCCCCCGCCGACCTTTCTCCACACCAGGCCAGGCCCACCAGGGCCCTACCACTCAGAGCGGTCTGTGGGCCAGTCGCCTGGGTGTCAGCTGAGTTCGGTCACAGATGCGGAGCCTGGGCCCCATGAATCAAGACCGCATCTCAGCAAGAGGGCCTGTGCACACTTCCCTGGGTGACCAGGGAAACCGAGAATGGCAACTCCCCTCCCTCCCGCTCCCCCCTCCCCAGCGTGGTGAGGGAGCGGGGGGCCAAGAGGCCTCTCCTCTTGTTCCTGCTGCAGGGGAAGGGTCCCCGCCCGCCACTGCAGCCCCGGGAAGTGGGGACCACGGTTCGGCCACACTCACCTACCACCTTGAAGCGGACCGTCTGGCCTGACCGGGGGAGCACTCGTAGCTGCAAACTCTTGACCCCACAGTCCTAGCTGTACCCCAGGCCGGAGAGATCAGGCTCGGGGAGTAGCTGCCGCCCCAGCCCCAGAGCGCTCATCAGCAGCAGGGCCACGTGGCAATCCCAGACCCCGGCCGAGGCTCCTGCCGTCACGCAAACCACAGCAACCCCCACAAACCCCCGCCCGCCCAGGTGAGGCCCAGGACTTATATGGGGGAGGTGGCAAGTGGGAACTTGGAGGGCAAAGGGCGCCCACCTGGAGGAGCCCTGCCTGGCCACCAGGGGCTCTGGTGAAATTCCCGCCCTGAAGGCCAGGGAAGGCCCCTCCCAGCCAGGGACCCTGACGGGCTGCCCCAGAGCAGCCCCCTCACCCTGACTGCCCACCTTACAGCTGGGCCTTGAGGCTGGCTCTGCGGGGCTCAGCCAGGTGATCCTGGTTGGGAGGTGGAAGGGAGGGAAGCTTCTGGTACAGGTGGCTGCAGGGGGGCCGAAGGGCGGGTTCCAAGTCCCTCGTCGTCCCCTCCCTGTCCAGGCCGGCTCTCCAGGGCCTCCTGCCTGCACCGAGGCCTTGGGGCCACCAGAAGCTGCAGGGGCCATGGGGGGTGGGCAGCGGGCCTGGTTAGGTAACAGGGCTTTTGGGGGGGGGGCCTAAGCAGACCCCAGAGGTCGAGATGCTGCCCCTGCCCTGAGAGCGGGCAGACAGATGGGGTGACAGGCCAGCAGACAGACTGGAAGCCCCTCACGGGGCCCTCCTGACGATCAGGGTGATTAACGGGGCCATGGCTGTCACCAGTGACAAATCACAAGAACGGACAAGAAACGGACTGTGGCCTCCCGGATGGGACCCTGGAGCAGAACAAGGACTGGAGGTAAAAGCTAAGGAAACGGACTTAGGTTCGTAACAGTGGATCAACAGGGGTTCATTAACTGTAATAAACCTACTGCCCAAATGTGAGAGGGTCACCCTACGGGACACGGGGTGTGGGGCCCATGGGACCTCTGTGCTAAATCTGGAACCGTCCTGAGAAATAAAGTCCATAAACAACCACAAGAAGCCTGGCTCACAGGCAGCAGCGCTTCCCGTGGGCCAGGCAGCCCCAAGGCCTTGCCCAAGGCCTCGTTACCGCCGGCCTCCTGTGGGGGGGCCTGGCAGGGTCCAGCTCCACCAGCGAACGCCGCGGAGTGTCAGCCGCCGCAGCTGCGTGGCGTGTGGCTCAGTCAAGAGTCTGGTTCCAACCCAACCCCTACCTCTTCCTCTTTCTAGCCGTGGCCGGGACATTTCGCTTTCTGGGATTCATTTCCCTGCTAGTGAACTGGGGAGAATGCTCGCAGGGTGGACAGAAAGACGCACGTGACAAAGAATGGGTGTGACAAGTCCCACGTGGTAATGATTTAGCGCTTGAACTTCACCATGACTAGAGCGTAGGTGGGGGGAGCTTGGAGGGTCTCCCTGGGGGCAGGGCAAGTTGAGGCACGGGGCCAGGGTGGGGGTGGCGGAAGCATGGGGGGCACAGAGGGTAGGGGTGGGGGTATCATGTTGAGGCAGAGGGAATTTGGGGCGATAAAGGCATAGGGCTGCTAACAGTGGATTTCAGGCGACTGGGGTCCCTGGAGGGGGAAGGGCTGGTGAGGTGGGTTTTTCCTAAAGGACGATGGAAGGCTTTAAACTTTTTCTTTTGAAATAATTTTAGACTTACCGAAAAGAACTTCCCTACACCCTTCACCCAGATCTCTGTATTTGGGTTTTAACGACAGTATTAACTGTCATTAAAAACAAGGCAACAGGCCCCAAAATAGCATCATTTATGCTAAGCCCCATGTCATCAAACCAAGACTTAATTGCAGTTTTGGCTCTTCCAGAAATGGAATCTTGAACCAGCCAAAAAAAAAAGGAATGGCCTGATTAGCCTTAGCCAATAATCTGACCAACAGACCCTTTCCATCCTCTAAAGGAAAGTGACCTTGCAATGAGCCAATCCCCATTTTTACTTGTATAAGTTCCTTGTTCTCGCTCCCTTCTGCCTATTAAGTCTTTCTGGGTAGCTCCTCTGAGTGCCTTCCTATCTGCAGGGACGCTGCCTGATTCATAAAGCCAGTAGGATGTTTAAAATGTACTCGATTGAATTTTGTTCAATTACATTTGTTTTTGCTCTTTCACTCTCCCTATGTCCACAGACGCCCACATCCACACTCTCTTCCATAACATTTAAGAGCCGCATGCAGATGGTTCTCCTTTTACCCCCGAATACTGCAGTGTGTACTTCCTAAAATACAAGTAAAATGATCAAAACCAGGAAATCAACACTGGTATAACACAAATGCCCAATTTACAAACCTTACTCAATTTACCAACGGTCCTAATCATGACTTTTACAGCAAGGGAGAAAAGTGTTTTTTTCCTAGACCAGGATCCAGTGTGAGACCAAGAGCAGGCTTCCTGAGCTCCTCCAGCCTGGGACCGTCCCTCTATTGGTCTTTGTTCCTCGTACCCTTGATGTTTTGAGGAGCAGAGGCCGGTACCTTGACAGAATGGTCCTCACGCGGGTTGACCTGGTGTTTCTTCTTCTTCTTTTTTTTTTTTTTTTTTAAAGATTTTATTTATTTATTTGACAGAGAAAGACACAGCGAGAGAGGGAACACAAACGGGGAGTGGGAGAGGGAGAAGCAGACTCCCCGCCGAGCAGAGAGCCCGATGCAGGACTTGATCCCGGGACTCCAGGATCATGACCTGAGCCGAAGGCAGTCGCTTAACCAACTGAGCCACCCAGGCGCCCGACCTGGTGTTTCTTCTTGATTCGATTCAGGTGATGCCCTTTTGGCAGGTGCATTAATTTGCTGGGGCTGCTGTGAGAAAAACAGCATAGCCACACAGATGACTTCAACCATAGACATTTGTTTTCTCACAGCTCTGGAGGCTGGAAGTCCAAGGTCAAGGTGTGAGCAGGTTTGGTTTCTTCTGCAGCTGCTCTCCTTGGCTTGAGATGGCCACCTTCTCCCTGTGTCCTCACGTGGTCTTTCCTCTTTGTGCACATCTCCCCTGGCTCTGTGGGTCCATGTTTTCTCTTCTTGTAAGGACCCCGGTCAGCTTGGATTAGAGCCCATCCTTACAGGCTCACTGTAACGTAATCACCCCTTAAAGGCCCTGCCTACAGATACAGCCGCATTTGGTGGTGCTGGGGGTTCGGGCTCCGGCATACGAATGGGGGGCACCATTCAGCCCATCCCAGGCAGGAAGAGCCCAGTCTGCTGCTAAGTTACTCTTTCTCTTTGGACACGGGAAGTCCTTGATGGGGAGACCCTTGGAGACTCCTGTACGCGACTGTCCTGCTCCCCCTCAGCAAACCTTCACCCAGGGGTGGTGGTTTCCCTGCTCCATCATTCCCTCCACATGTGTTTGCCTCCTGCTGTAACAGAGAGCTGTCCCCGAGGGGAAGGGGGGACAGTTCAGATGGCGGAGAGAGCCCCGGCCGGAGTTGCTGAGAGCCTGGATTCTATCCTGCACTTGCTGCTCAGGGGCGAAAGGACCTCTCCCCTCTGTAAAGCAAGGATGGGCATGATGATGGTGGGGATGGAATGAGATACACAGAGAGGTCCATATGCATGACGGCAGGGTGTCTCCCAAGGCCCTGGACAGGCAGGAAAAGAGCAAGGGAACTTCCTCATCGCTAAGGGCAGAAGGATGCCCTTGAGAAGAGTTGTGCTAAACTGGCCCGAGAGGCGGAGCCCTGAGCCCTTGGTTATGATTCCAGTTCTTGCAAAATCCCACAGGCACCAGCCTGGAAAGGACGCCGGCTCCCCCACTCCACCACCAGAGACCTTAGAAAAATCATTTACCCACTCACTGACTCGATTTTCTCATCTGTATAATGGGGCCAGTAACAGTGCCTAACTTGTAGGCTTGCTGTGAAGATGAATAAGGGGACCCACGGACGGCATGGAGAGAGTCTGCATCGCTTGGACGCAAGAGCAATAAAAGCCACGGATTGTTTTCACTGCTGAGGAAAGAGGGTCAAATCAGAGTGACCTGACTTGGGGTCTTGGCTTCCCACTTCACCTCTTTCTAAACCTGTTTGTTCATCTCCAACCTTTTAAATTTCTTTTTTATCTTTTTAAAATGGGGCTTCTGGGACGCCTGGGTGGCTCAGATGGTTAAGCGTCTGCCTTCAGCTCAGGTCATGATCCCAGGGTCCTGGAATCGAGTCCCGCATCGGGCTCCCTGCTCAGCGGGGAGCCTGCTTCTCCCTCCGCCTGCTGCTCTCTCTCTCTCTCTGACAAATAAATAAGTAAAATCTTAAAAAAAAATAAAATGGGGTTCCAAATTTCTTAATCTATAGAATGGAATTAAGAACAAGATCAACCTAGCTGGGGTGCCGTGAGCCTGAAGGGCTCACTAAGTGAGTTCTCCGCCCTGTCTCACCTGCTCATGGGGGTCAGGGACAGAAGGAGGGTGCCACGGGAGGACGGGGCCTCTCCAGGCTGGAAAGACAAGGTCCTGTCACATTGCCTCTCTGCTGCTTGTGGGCATTGCCAGGACCTCCTGAGTAAGAAGGTTGGTGGATCTTAGGGCAGGTCCTCCCTGCTTCCTGCTGTGCGTCTCACTTCCTCTTTGATTAACTTCTGTAAAAAGGTCAGAAAGGAAAAACAGAAACCTACTTCCTAAGGCAGGAGCAGAGGGAGAAAACTGGGGAGAAACTGGGGAGAAGTTGGGGGACACTTTCCCTTGGGGCCCACTCCCTGGACCGTTGGTTAAACACAGGTGATGTGCTAAACATCTTCTTGGGAGCCCGAGACACTCAGGGTCTGGGAAAGTGGGCCTGCAGGATGGGCAGGCGAGGGGCAAGGGCATTCCAGGTAGTAGCCATGCAAAGGCACTGGGGTAGGTGAAGAGGATGGGGAAGCTGGGGACATGGGGAAAGGTGCCGGCACTCGCAGGCGGTGCGCTGGATCCGAGTGAGGTCTGCACAGCTCCCACAGGCCACAGAGACCCAGCGGCGGTCTGCTAGGCTCCGATTTGTCTTCCTGCCTGGGGTAGCTGAGGCTGACGCAGAGATGGACCCGACTTCTGCTCTTGCTGGCTGTGACAGCGAGTTTCAGGCCACAGAGAAGCTTGTGCTTCAGGGACCGGGCCTGTGCCCGGGGGGTGCGGGCTGGGCTGAAGATGGGCCCCCCCCACTCCCCCAGGGATTCATCCCAGTGCTCAGAGAAGCCAGGCTGAAGTGTCCCTGTGGGCAGCCACATCCCCACTCTTCAGGTAGGGACACCAGCTTCCCTGGGCCTGAGGCTCCTTAATCTCTAAACCCTGCAGGTGGGCCCCTGAGGCACCGCCAGCCGTGAGCAAGGCTCTCTCCCTTCCCTGGCTCCCGCACGTTCTGTCTGGCAAGGCACACCTCGCTGACGTCCATGTCAGCATCACTGCGGACGGCAACAAGTGATGAACCTACTTCGACTCTGGAGCAGGGGGCCTGACGCTCCTGGGATTCTGTGGGATCCTGTGCCCTCTTATGGTAGGGCCTTCATGGGCTTCCAAAATAAGGTTTTCGGCAAATATGCGACTGGAAAAGGCAAGTGCAACATCTGGAGTCAGGAAGAGGTTGACATGGAAACGCACCGCACTAAAAATAACTAAGTAAGAGGCAGCTGGTTTTTGCATCGTCACTCGGCGGCCGGCTCTGAGCCGAGCGCTGGGCTCACTCCTCGGACCCCCACAGCAGGGAGGGGAGGCCTTGGGGGAAGCCCCTCAGCTAAGCACTCTCTTCCAGGTAGAGCTGCTGCCCCCTGCTCCGAGCACCCCAGGCCCAAGGACCCCGACTCTCCTTTCCAGTGGCTCAGCGTCCTCTGTGCCCCCAGAAGCAGCAGCATGGGGATCTGCCAGGGAACCTGATGGAAATGCAAATGCCCAGGCTGCACCCCAGACCTGCTGGGGGAGAGGCCCAGCAGCCTGGGTGTGACCAGCCCCCCTGGGAGGTCCCGATGTGCACTCAGCTGAGAGTCGCTGGTCTGTATGGTTTTAGGCCCTTCCCAAAGGCCCCAGTCACCCTCCCCCGGACTCTCCCCTCCGTGAAGGCCCATCGGCAGTCTTGGCGTCCTCCTCCTGAAGACCCCAGCCCGACCCTGGGGAGGGCTCCCCTAAGGGTCCTCTAATTTCTACACTTGGTCTGAGCTCTTGATGCCTGGTCACTGGAGGCTCCTGCCCTCTGCTTCCAGCCAGCGAGCCCCCTTAAGACTCCTTCTGTTCCTGTCTGCTCCCAAGGCTCTCTCCAAGGGGCAGACGCTGGCTCCTGGTTCCTGACGCTCTTGCCTCCCCCCCACCAGCCCCAGCGTCCCACGCCTAGGGGCCGAGGGACTGTGGCACTGGGGAATACGTGCGGAAAGGTCCGTCTCCACTGTGGGAGGGCAGTTGAGGCCCCCCCCGCCACCCCCCACCCCCCCGCAAGAACAAACGTCACTGTCTTCTTCTTTAGAAAATCTTAGGGCCCTGCCCATCTGGACTACTTTTTTGTTTGTTTTAGCAACTTTTCATAAATTGTCCTCAGGGAGGGTTGGGAGGAGCCACCACTGTGATTACAGGATTGGAAACAGGGGTTGGGGGAAAGGTCTGAGGAGGCAGGGTTTCAGGTAAGAAGCCCCTTAGCAGGGCCGCCGTGAGAGGTTATGCAGGATGTTCACTGCACAAGGGTACCTCCTGGAGGAGGCAAGGGAGGGCTGAGGTCCCGAAGGAGGGGGCTCAAGCCTGATGCTCCCCTGTCAAAATGTGTCTACAGGAGGGAAGGGGGGATTCTTTCTTAGCCCCAGGAGCAGTCTGTGCCCACCAATCCTTGCACTCTGACCAGGGGCTGTGCAGAAGGAGTCCCTCTTAAAAACCCTACTTTCCTGCTGTGAGGTTATTTGCCCAAGGTCACATAGCTTGGGAGTGGCAGTGCTGGATCCAGCCGCAGAGTCCCTGAGCTCACCCACCACACTACCCTGTCGGCAAGCCCTCGGAGGATGGCCGCGGGCCAGCACGTTGGGGCTGGGGGTGGGTGGGGATGGGGGGACTTTCCTCAAAGCAGGAAGGAGACATCTGCCTGTTTCTTAGGGAGGGGTGCAGGCACTTGTCTTTGGAAGACCAGGCCCTCCGTGACCTACAGAAAGGAGAATTGCCCGCGCTAATATTTTGGATAATCAAGTCGTTTACTGATCTGCCATCTTGGGCTGCAGAGAAAAATATCCCCATCACAAGGTCACAGTATTTTAGACATTCTTCACTCGGGATCGCAGGCTTCCCGCAAGATTATTAAGTGCCAGGCCCTGCGACGGAGCCTGTGTCTAAATGGAAGAGTCCTGTACAGTCAATCCCATGGGTGGGGGTGCCCTTGCCTTGATATGGGAGTTTTTACACGTGTTTTACTGAGCACTTCTTAGGTGCAAGGACGCGGAGTTTGACCCTAGGACACTTGGTCTGCAAAGACTTGGGGAACCATTAAATGCACTCATGAAGTTCCATTAGCTCGTTGCAGGGCTCCGGGTGCATTTTAAATAAAAGCTGCCCAGCCCTTGCCCTGCAGCCTCTACCCGTCCCTACCTGGAAGAGAAAAGGACTGATTTCTCCGAGCACCTACTGTGTGCCTGGCACTCTGTGAATGAAGGTGTGGCGCTGAGGCTTGGCTCGCAGACGGCAAAACCAGGGGCAAGGGCTTGCCTCCCTCCCCAGGGCTGCAGGGGGACAGCCTGGCCTCTGCTCTTCCCACTGCCTGCACCCTGCCTGCCTGAGGATTATGGGGTCAGGAGAGGGCACCCCAGGACAGTGGACCCATGCACGAGATGTCCTCTCCCTGGCGGACCTCTCCTACACAGCGGTCGCCCTCAAACGCAGCCCCAGAGGCACGCTCCCATTCCCCCACCTGCGCTTGTAGGGACCCGGGGCTCCTGCAAAATCTCCGGGGGGAAGAAGGGGAGGGGGGCAGGGGCTGCCAGCAATTTTGTCCCTTTCTCACTGATGGAGACGACTATTACAGAATACCACTGGGGCGACTCACCCTCTGGCTGTCCCCGCCTCCCCCAACCCCACCCCTGAACACACACAGACATAGACACACACACACACAGACACACACTCTGGGGCGGATAGACATTTCCTCCCTCAGCCTCACTCCCCTGCCTCCGCCTGCCCCGTGCGGTGCCTCCTCGGCAGGCTGCCACCCGGAGCTGACTGTCCCCAGTGCGGGAATCCTGTGTTCCTTCTGTGCCCAGGTAAGTGAGCAATAGCCCAGGGGCTGGGCAGCCTCGGTGCCCTCTCTGGACCCACAAAGGAAGGCGCAGTTTCGCCAGGGGACAGGCTCCTAACGACTAGGCAGAGGGGTGGGTTTACCAAAGACTGGAGGGGACGAGTTGCTCGCAGAAGGGAAGGCACTAGAAGCCAGGCACAGTGGTGAAGCACAGAAGCCTCTCTCCATACTCACAAGCAATCTGGGGCGGGGGGAAGGGGGGTGATTAGAGGAGCAGTCTTAGGGTAACTGACCCTAGAAGTTTGCCTTCTCTGCCCCAACCCCCACCAGAGCAGGACCCTAGCTGCTGGGCTCCCTGAGAATCCCAGGAGGCTGGGTGCTGGCTCCATGCAGCCAGAAAGCCCAAACCCGATGGGTTCCCTGGGATAGCAGGGTTGTGCTCTCTGAGCATCCCCAAGGGACCTGGCCAAGAGGCTGCTGGACTGAAGGGAACGTTTCAGTGCAGAGAGGGGATGGCACTCATCTGTCTGCTAGGTGGAGTCCCAGCGGCACCACTGCAGTTGAGCAACGTTGGGCACATTGCTATGCTTCTCTGAGCCTCAGTTTCCTCTTCTGAAAAATGGGGTCTCACAGGGTCACTGTGAATGCAATTGCTCGGCAAACTCTAACGCTTGGGAAGCATGGGCATTCCCGGGGAGCACGGGCCCAACTGCTCCCCACCCACCTCCCTGCGATCCCCAGCTCCAAGGGCTCGTCTGCTTGGAAAACTCTAGTTTGATGTCCTGGGGCTGCACCTCACAAAGGACCGTGGTACCTGGAGAAGAGTGTGGATTTTCTCATCCTGGCCAACAGCGTTCCCCCTGGAAATGTGAGTGCTGAGGATCACCCCCCCCACTTCCCTCCCTTCTTCCTCCATCAACGCTTGCTTACAGCAGAGGCATGGGAAAGAGAACGGGCTGAGCGCTAAACTGTTGCAGCTCCACTTGTCGGTGTTATGTGCGTGGCTAAGGCCTCAGTTTCCTCCCCTGTAAAATGGGATGGAGTGAAATTCTAGCGCCTTTCTTCTCGAGTCCTGAGCAAGAGAGCACCTATGTAAAGGGCCTCTCGGGGTCTCAGGCGCACAGGGGGGCCCCAGGACAATCTGAGTCCCCAAACCCCGCTCCCTGTCCCCTACCTCCTGTCGGCAGCCTCCCACCCCTCCCCCTCAGCCCTCCCCCATCTCAACCAGCTTCACTTCAGGTGGTCTCGGACTTTCGATGAGGCTGTGGGTGTGCACATCTGGGGTGTCTGCACATCTGCCAGAGGTTGGCTTCCACAGCACTTACCTGAGAAGTTGCTCAATGACTATCTGCTCAATGAGTGCATCACTGAGCAAATAAATAAGCAGGCTGGGTTTTCCCGGGCAGGCAGATGGGTTTGGCTGCCCCCTGGGCAGGGGAACAGTCCTCCAGCCCCATTGGGCCTCCAGGGCCCCAGTCTGGTAGTTCCTCATGCCCAGCTCTCTCCTTGCTCTTATCTTATTTCCTCTCCAACTACCAAAGGGGGGGCCGGCTCCACTGTTCAAGGTCAACACACCCAACCTGCCAGTGTTGTGGGACCTCATAGGTGCCCCAGTGCCCTGGGAATGGGGAAAGGAGTCCTGCATGGCCTGGCCTTGTTTCTGTTTCTCCATGTGACCCCAGGGGACCTGCAGAATAATAATCACAACACGGATACTGTAGTGCTTCCTGCACGCCGGGCTCCGCTCTAAATGCTTATATATGTAAACTCACTGAACACTGCCAACAGCTGTAGGATCTAGGTCCTGTTGCGACTGACATCCACGTCACAGAGGAGGAAACAAGCTCAGGAAGGTTAAGCGGCTCGCCCAAGGTTGCCATGAGCAGGGGTGCAGCTGGGATGCTATTCCCCCCACCATACTGTCTTTGCTCAACTTCACTGATCCCCCTCGGCGTCATCCATACCATTCACGGGACAGATTCCGATCTCCTGGGGAGGGTCCCCGGCTGCCCCCGCCCAGCCTACCTCAGCGCCTCCTTCTCTCCACCGCAGAGCTCACCATGTCGGCCAACGTCACCCTGAAGCCGCTCTGCCCGATCCTGGAGCAGATGAGCCACATCCAAAGTCACAGCAACTCCAGCATCCGCTACATGGACCACGCCTCAGTGCTGCTGCACGGGCTGGCCTCGCTGCTGGGCCTGGCGGAGAACGGGCTCATCCTCTTCGTGGTGGGCTGCCGCATGCGCCAGACCGTGGTCACCACCTGGGTGCTGCACCTGGCACTGTCGGACCTGCTGGCCACCGCCACCCTGCCCTTCTTCACTTACTTCCTGGCCGTGGGCCACTCGTGGGAGCTGGGCACCGCCTTCTGCAAGCTGCACTCCTCCATCTTCTTCCTCAACATGTTCGCCAGCGGCTTCCTGCTCAGCGCCATCAGCCTGGACCGCTGCCTGCAGGTGGTGCGGCCCGTGTGGGCGCAGAACCACCGCACGGTGGCCGCGGCCCACAGGGTCTGCCTGGGGCTCTGGGCCCTGGCCGTGCTCAACACCGTGCCCTACTACGTGTTCCGGGACACCATCCAGCGGCTCGACGGCCGCATCATGTGCTACTACAACGTGCTGCTCCTGAGCCCCGGGCCCGACCGCGACGCCACGTGCAACTCGCGCCAGGCGGCCCTGGCCATCAGCAAGTTCCTGCTGGCCTTCGTCGTGCCGCTGGCCATCATCGCCTCGAGCCACGCGGTCGTGAGCGTGCAGCTGCACCAGCGCGGCCGCCGGCGGCCCAGCCGCTTCGTGCGCCTGGTGGCGGCCGTGGTGGCGGCCTTCGCGCTCTGCTGGGGGCCCTACCACGTGTTCAGCCTGCTGGAGGCGCGCGCACACGCCGAGCCCGCGCTGCGGCCGCTCGTGTGGCGCGGCCTGCCCTTCGTCACCAGCCTGGCCTTCATCAACAGCGTGGTCAACCCGCTGCTCTACGTGCTCACGTGCCCCGACGTGCTGCACAAGCTGCGGCGCTCGCTGCGGAGCGTGCTGGAGAGCGTGCTGCTGGACGACAGCGAGCTGGGCGGCCTGGGCAGCCGCCGCCGCCGCCCGTCCGGCCCGCGCCCGGGCCCCGCCGCCCGCCCGCCGCCCCCGTCCGGGCCCGCGCGCCTGCTCGCCTGGCTGCGGGGCGGCCGTGCGGCGTCCGCGCAGCGCGCCCGCTCCCGGTCCCAGGACGAGAGGGGCCCCCTGAACCGGGCACTGAGCACCACGTCGGGGTAGAGGGCGGCCGGCGATGGCGCGCGCGAGCGTCCCGGGGGCGGAGTCAGGCCGGGCCGGGCGTCTGCCTTTTAAAACGCCTCCCGTGCCCCAGTGCCCTTCAGAACCGACGGCGGCGGGAGGGGCGGTCGCCGAAATTCTGCATTTCCAGCAAGCTCCCAGGAGGCGAAGTCAGCGCTGCTGGTCAGCGGACCCCGTGGGGACCAAGGCAGGGTAAAACCACAAGATCTCTCGAACTAGGGTACTCGGGATGCACCTTCGTGGAGCTCAGCTTTACCAGATGGCGGGAGGGGAAGGGAGGGAGGTATTTTTACAGGAAACCAGTGATACGTGCGTTTGGAGTAGAAAACTGAAAGGTTTGGCAAGTACTGGTCCAGTCTAACTCTTCACGTAGTCACCTAGCCAACGTTTATTGAACTAGACGCTTGATCCCACAATCTTGAGGGACAGGTTCTATTAGCTCCAGTTTCTACCCATGATCCAACTGAGGTACATGGAGATTAATCCACTTACCCAAAGTATAGGGTCTGCATACTCACCATTGAGCACCATGCAGTTCAACTACCGTTTAGTAAGTGAAAGAACACCCCCCCCCCCCCGCCCCGCTCCCACCCGCAACATACCCAAGGTACTGAAGGTCTTGACTGTAAGAGGCCTCTTCTCTACCCTACTGACCCAGCACCAACCAAGGGGTTTATAAGGTAGAAAGAGCAAGGGGTGCCGTGGCCAGCCTGGGCTAATCCAATGCAGTGGGCATCTCTGCTGAAGGTCTTCTTAGTATGTGAATGTGCACAGCAGCCCCTGAGATCACAGCACATGACAGTTCCTCATGGATCCGACATCTGTATGGGCCTGGTATTCTACCATGGAATACCCTATGGGCAATGCTGGTAATCCCCAAATCTTTCCAATGCCCACCCCCCAACCACGCAGCAGCTGGGCGGCTGTCCCGATCTGTAGCAGTCAGGGCCAACCCGGACCTCCTGATAGCGCATCCATGCCCTGACACGTCTCCTCTACCCGCCACGCGCTAGAAGACAAAGACCACTGCACCTGGGTCTGTCCCAGGGCCAGGCGCAGAGCTGTGGCCAGTAACTGGTGGGTGGAACAGTGGAATCTCGGTCCAGTGCTGCCTGTGCCGCTCCTGGCTGGGGTCCTGAAGGCTGGGCTGGCCGGCTTACTGCTTGCCACCGTGCCGGGCCTTGCCCACAGCCCGTGCTCAGCAGACGAACAGATGCGCAGCTGACCGAGCCGACGTCCACCTTCACAGCTCCCCGTGCTCCCTGCTACCCTCCCCGGCTTCACTCGTGGCACTTCCCACTGTCTAACACAGTACCATTTCCCTGTTTATTATGTTTTTTTTCTGACAGAACGAAAGCTCCTTGTGGGCAGGGGCCTCTATTCCCTGATACCTAGAACTGTGCCTGTACACAATAAATATTTGTTACAGACTGGATGGCACGGGTGAATCAGATCCGCGGGGCTTCCGCAGAGTCCGGCACAGGCGAGAGTGAGCTGGGGGGCGGGGCGGACCTCACTCCCTGAAACCTTTCGGTGTTGAAAAGTCGGGGAAGCCGGGTTCAGCTGGCCGGGCGACAGGGCCAGTGGGCTGCAGACACCCCAAGCAGCGTTTGGGATGGTGCGAGGGGGACTGGTTCCTGACTGCAGCCTCCTGGCCTGGGTCGGACCCGCGGCCTTGAGCCAGAATACACATTTTAGAGAGTCACCCTCCAGTTGTCAGCTCCCAAGGAACCAGAGAATTTACCCTTCATGGTTGCAAGGCACTCGATGAAGGAGGAGAGAGCAGGAAGGAGGCGGGGGTCGGGGCTGAACCTCTTCCCTCCCCCAGTCTCTGCCAGGCCGCAGGCTCCCTCCGGGCTTGGGAGCCCCCGAAGGCTCAGAGCCCCTCTGGGGTGGGGCGGGGTGGGGTGGCGCCAGCGCTGGAGTGCCGCGTCCCGCTGAGGCGTGTGACCAGTGGCCCAGTGGCCCGACGAGTGCGGGTCTGACACAGCAGTTGGCCGCAGAAGGCCTCTGGGCTGGCCCGTGCTCACATCTTGGCTGCTGGCCCCTGGGGTGGCTTCTGCAGCAGCGCCACTGTGTCCCGCTTCTGAATGGAGCGAAGCTGCTTCTTCTTCGCCCGCCTGAGCTTGGCGGGGTTTCGGATCTGGGGGCGGTGTGAGGAGAGCGCATTAGTGTGGCTGTCGTCCCTGCCCTGTGCCCCGGGGAAAGGGAGGCCACCCCGCAGGGGCGCCGAGGCATCTCGAGCACAGCGCCCAGCCTGGCCGCGGTTCAGATCCCCCGAGCGAGACAACACTCACCACTTGGACAACCTCTGCCCTCCGCTCATTCTCCAGGCGGCGTTTCAGGTTCTCGGCCCGGCGCTGTTTCTTCTCCTGGAACACAGAGGGGACGGGGATTTGAGGCTGGGAGCCGGGGCAGCCCTGGTCTCTTAGGCCTCAGGGGAATGAAAGCTGGCTGAGTTCCCAGGGAGAGGACAGACTCTCTCACCCCAGCCCGATTGTTGCTGGCGGGCCAGCAAGGAGATATGCCCCTGCCCGTGACTGCAGCCGAGAAGGGGGGCACCTGGTCGCGCAGCTTAGATAGGGGGATGGTGGGTGGGGGGAGGTAAGACACAATGGTCCCCACGCCCCCCGCCCCATCAGCTGCCGGGGGTAAGGGGTGGAGGCTACGGGGAAGAGGCTATCTGGGCCCCGTTCAAATCCTGGCTCTGCTGCTTCCAAATGGGTGACTTTGGCCAAGCTGCTTAACTTCTCTGTGCCTCAAGGCCCCATATTGAAAGTGAAGAGATTACTCCGGATTGTCCTGAGGAATAAATGAATGCATGCATGCACTGGCCTTGGAGGGGTACCCGGCCCGGTGGGAACACTTCAAAGATGGATCTAGTTGGAGTCTGTCTCAGGGATGGGGAGTCCAGTGCCTTCTGGCTATGCTGACTGCCGCCCTGGGTGGGGCCTGAGGGGATGGCGGCTCTGAGGCTGCTGCATGGTCAGGGGCCTCTCCGGGCTTTGAGGACTTAGGGGAGTAGGGGTGGCCTGGGCCCCTGGGGAGGAGAAAGGAGAAGTGAGATTTGGGCTCCTGTCAGGGGAAGGGCTGGGCTGGGGGCACTCCCGGGGGGGCGACAAGAAGTCCGTCTTGCTCAAGAGGTAGTCCGGGCCGCACAGGAAGTAAGATAAGGACTCGGCACACAGCAGCACGGGGGTGCCTCAAAACGGGGGAGAGATGGCTGAATTGCCTGGCCCAGCCCCTTCCCTCGGTGGCCAGGCTCGGGCCTGTGCCCCTGGGATCACTAGGCAAGTGACATCCCTCTGATAACCCCAGTCCTGGTGGGGTGGTCGCAGACCTCATACTCTCGTGTGCTGCCTGCTGGGGCTTCCTGGAGCCCGAAGGGGTTGGGGGGGGACCTCTAAGCAGGCATTTCCGGCCTGGGGCTGAGGGGCAGGCAGGAAGGTGTGGGGTATCCACTTTGCTAATGCGTGGGAGCTGTCTCTTGGGGAATGATGGCAACAGTACTGGGATAAGGCTCTCCTACCTGAGCGAGGACCCTGAAGCCCGTATCCCCAAATGCTTTGATCAGTAGTGAGGGCCACCGCGGGGGGCTTCGTCCTGGGCTCCTCCCCATCCTTGAGTCTCTCATAGAGCCCTGGGCTAAAGTGGACACTGCACTGGGCTTCCCCGCCCTGCGGTCCCAGACTGCACTTCTACTTCTGGCCAGGCTCCCTGCCTCCCTAGGGCCAGCAGCCCTCCCCCACCCACCCCAGGCCTATTCCAGCAGTCACCACCTCAGCCCCCTGAGCTCCAGCCTCAGCCTGGCTGGCTGGCCCCTCACCTGCCGGCGTTTCTCCTTCTCCTCCTCTAGGTGCCGGGCGAAGTCCTTGGCCAGCTTCCTCTCCTGCCGTTCCTTCATCTTCCGCTGCCAGGATGTGTGCAGGGGCTTGTCCTGCACCATTTGGGAGAACCTGGAAGGGAGACAATGGGCGCTCATGTCATCCGTGGGAGGTGCCCATGCCCACTCTCCCCTCAGCTCTGGGCTCTGGGCCTTCCTCCTCAGAACCCAGGCAGAATTACATCCTCCCCTGCCCGTTCGCCAGGCAGCAGCCCTCCGGGTCTGCAGAAACGGGCCCCAGTCATGCCGGCTGCCATTTCTTAAGCCCTAGTTACATGTACCCTGAGATGGTACTCTTGTTCTTCCCATTTTAAAGAGGAGCAAACCAAGGCTCAAAGAGGTTAAGTAACTGCACCAGGTCACCTTGTACCTGAACAGCTGTCAAGACTGAAACCTCTGTGACCAGAGTCCAGACCACAGAGCCCTTCCATAAGGTTCTGCTGCTTCCACCAAGCAAGCTCAGCTTGGGTGCCAATGCTTCTGGAGCTAGGGCTCACTCCCTCCAGGGGCGGCCTATTCCATTTCAGAACAGTGCGGGGGTATGTGAAAATGTAGTGGGCATGAGAGGATATCGGGGGATGTCCTGTTTTCCTAAGTGACAGTGACATTACAGTCCCAGGAAAAACAGGACTATCTTGGTAAGAGATAAGCATACTGCATATGGGTGGAATGATCTATCTACGACATGCGGGAAAATATTCCAGGAAAGAAAGGAATGTCAAGGAGCAAGACGAAGCTAGACCAGTACGATTGTGAGTGCTGCTGAGCAGGTGAGGAGAACGGGGTGGGGGTCACAGACCACGCTCTCCCCTTCTCTGTAGGTCTTTCTCCTTGAGCTATCTGCAGCCTTGCTGGCTGCCCCGTGGGCCTTTTCTCCTTTGCAGATCCTCTCATACTGGCCTTTTTGGCTCCTCCACCAATTTCTTGACTTCTAGAAGAGCTCTTCTTCATCCACTTCCATTATATGGTGCCCCAAATGGTCACTGCAGGTCGGCGGGCCCGCCCCAGCTTCTGAAGGCTGCGGTGCACAGGGCAGAGACCACTTCCCTCAATACTGCTCTTCTGGGCCATTTTCTCCCCTTGTTCCACAGGAGTCTGGTACACAAAGCCTGGACCTTGACCCCCAGGGCTGAAGGCCTGTCCATCTTCAGCCTGGTTCTGACCCCAGAACGGCCCTCGACTGCTCCCTCGCCCTCTCCTAGGACTTCCTGCTGAAGACCTGGCGTCCTAAGCACAGACTTCCTCCCCAGCCCCGTGATGAGAAACCCAAAGGGACAAGGCCGTGGGGACCTGGACACACACAGAGCCACAGGGCACACCGCTGCCTCCTTCCAGAGCAGCGCTGCCGAGCAGAACCGTCTGTACTGGTGGAAAGGCTTGATATTTACACTGTCCGGAGAGGCACTGAGCAGCTGAGCAACTTGAGATGTGGCTGGTGTGATGGAGGAACTGAATGTTTAAGTTTTTAAATTTTAACCAACTTAAACTGAAATCGCCACATGTGCCTGGCGGCTATGCTACGGGGCTGACACAGTTCCAGAGCATCTGTTTTACCTGGAGGTTGAAGGCAGACAGGCCTGGGTTTCAAGGCCGGGATGTGCCTCCTACTACCTGGGTGATCTTGGGCAAAGTAGCCGGAGTTTCAGCGACTTCCCACGTTAAACAGAGACAAGAATGGTTCCTGTTCCAAAGGGGGGTGGGAGGATTGAGACAAGGCTGGAGAGGCATTTAGCACAATGCTCTGCACATGGCAGCTGCTCACTAAACACTGCCCTTCAGAGGAGGGAGATGGCACACCCAAGGGGCGCTGTGCGGGTGCCATTTGGCCTAAGCACGGAAGGGGGAGAGGCTGCAGCCGGGCCTTCCCAGCCCACCGCCGCCCTCCATATCCCTCGTTTTGCCGGGACACCTTCTGCTGCAGGTGCTGCGTCCACTGTCTCTGGGCTCTGCTCACCACCCGCCGAAGCTGCTTCCTCAAAGACCCTGAACATCAATTCAGTGGCCCTTTGGCCCTTATCCGCAAGACCTACCTGCAGCTTCTGAACGTGTTTTAGTTCTACTGCAACCGAGGCCTCCTAACTGGTCTCTCTGCTTTCACCCCCGAAGTCCTACGGTCTGATAACTCCCTGATTTCTCTGCACAGCCTTGAGTTCCCCATATGTAAAATGAGGATAATCCTAACAGCCGCTGCTTCACAGTGTTGCATGCAGACTAACTGCCCGAGGCACGCTGGTCCCTCGGTCTGCAAGGCCTTCGCGCTGGCCGGTCCTTACCAAAATGCTTAGCAGTGTTCTACAGGCTCAGTGCTCCATAATACTTTTTAACACAAGGGCAAATAACCGTAACAGATACTAGCTGGTGAAGACCTCACAGCTTTTTACCAAGTAAGGGCTGGTTTACTTGCTTCTGCTTCCCTCACTGGAAAGCGGGCAGACAGAGGTAATGCTTGTTGAATGAATACACAAATGAGGTGCTCTACGAGAGGTACACAGGTACTCTGAGGAGGAAAGCATCACAGGAATAACCTTTGAGGGCGCGGTCTCACCCTCCCTGGGATCCCAGAGCATTTTACCACATCCTGATTATAATTACCTGTTCGTGTGAGACCCCCCAAATGTGAGCTCTCTCCATCCTTGAGCCTCTCTCTGGGCTGCACAGGTGCCCCAACACCACAGAGAACCACACCCCTGCCTAGCTTTCCCCAACTTTACCTTTTCTTGGAGCGGTCCTTCCACACCCGCCCGGATTTGGGCTTTCCCTTAGGGATTACAGGAACCTCCTTCCCCTCCTTCCACTTCTTGGACGCTGGGGCCTGGGCTGAAGACCTTGTCCGCTTCTTTGCCCCTAGGCCGCTTTTCACCGTCTCCCCGGCCGAAGGTGGCTTGCTCGGCTCGTGCTGACCCTGGGGGGAGCCGGGTGACTGGGCTGTCGGCTCCTGTAGTGGTCGCGAGGGCTCCGGACCCGGCGCTTGCTGAGCCGGGTAAGGCTCAGGGGATCCTGGGCCCAGCTGCAGCTGATGTCGGGGAGACCCCGAGGCCAGCTCCTTCTTACTCAGGGCCAACTCCGAGTCCAGTTCTTCTTGGGTTTGGGAGAACTTTGCTGACTGCCCACTTGGCTTTGGCTGAAACCCGGGGGGTTGTGGACCCGACTCCGGAAGTGTTTGGGGCGACTCCACGCCTGGATCTTGCTGAACCTGGTGGGACCCTGGGCCCGGCTCCGGCTCCCTTCCGGGGGACCCCAAACCTGCACCCTGCCGCAGAATAGGTGATTCCGGGCTTGTCTCCAGCTGACAGCCGGGGGACTCCAGGCCGGGTCGCCGCGCACTCGGAGACTCGGGCTCCCTCGTTTCTTCTGGGTCCGACTTGAACGCCACAAGGGCCCGTCTCGCCCGCAAAACTCGGCTGGGGGTCTCGGGGGATTCAGGGCTTAGGCCTTCCAGCCGCCGGCTGCGCCTGAGCGGCGTATCCATGGCCAGGCCTGAAAGTTCCAAGTTCCAACCCACGTGCAGCCTCCACCGACTCTGGGGCGACCGGCGCGGTCCTATGACGTCAGGAGCCGCCGTGCCAGCGCGAGGCAGGAAGGGCCGTTGCCGGGGAGACCATGTTGGTGATGGGCGGAGAGGCGGGGCCGACGGCCCGAGGCGGCCGGGCTGACAGGGCGCGTGCGCAAAGAGCTTCGGCGCATTTACTCGCAGGGGAGCTGTAGCTTGAGGTCTACGTTTGCCTTTCGTGCAAACTCTTTCTCCCTGGTGAAAAAAAGAGTGTGCAGGAGGAGAAGGGAAGGGGGTGGGGGTCCCATTTCCGGGAGAGAAGATCGGAAAAAGGTCCACGGAAACTTAGCCGCTAACTCACTGCTGTGGGACAAGGGTCCCACTCTCTTTGGGCCTCGGTCTTCTCATTGGTAATATGGGTAATTTTGCACGAGCTTAGTGTATCGAAAATGGTCCTGTCGGAGTACTCATAACTGCCAGAGTTTATGCTACCTGGCGAATCCTGGGATCGGGAAATCTCTTGTCTTGAGTTACATGTTAAAGGTAACCCTTTCCTTCCCTTCTCCCAGTCCTGTGCTTAAGTATCCAGTCTACAGCTCTGCCTTTTCAACATTTTCACCATTCACGCGTGAAGTTGAGGTGCTTACCCCTTGGGAAGATGCACTACCTTTGTGTCCTGGACCTTCAGCCCCAGTTCTGGAAACAGCGATCAGATCACCACTGACCAAGACAGAGTTCCTTGCCCCAGCGTGTGAGGAGCCTGCCTTCTCCCCACTCCTCTGCGTGAGACCCAAGAGGAAGTTTTGATTTCGCTCACAGCATGTATCTGACCAAAGAATGTCTTGGAAGTTGCCCAACTCTATGCCAGCACTTTTAAGTCTTTCCTTAGAACTGCCTGGGGATGGCCCTCAGGGATCCCAGGACCCCTGTCCAACTGTCCCACTGGCTGCATCGACAAACCACTGTTTCTCCAGCTGAGGGGTTATGAGAGGGCCTGGGAAGCGGTCCAAGGGTGTTCAGGCGACAGAGAAAGAAGGTGGGGCCGACGTCCAGGCCCTCAGCACCCAGAGCATGGTCCCCACCTCCTGAGTCACTACTGACACTGCAGCAGGACTGAAGGTCAGATTGGGCCCCGCCAGTCTTGAGTGCTGATCAAGGAGGAGGTGAGGAGGAGGAAAACGCAGGCAAAGGTTGCTGGAGGATGGCAGTGTGGGCTGAGAATCCCTTAATACCTCTCTCCCCTTGGCTGGTGCCACGGCATCCAAGATACATCCTCATGAGTTCAGCCTGTTGAAGTCACCTGCCTGAGGGTCAGGCGATGGTACGGCTTCCCCACTGTCCCTTCTTGTCGTCAGGAATAGTCGTGCCCTTGTGTAGTAATCACGTGTCAGCCTCTACCTTCTGGGCCCTTCTCAGAGGCTCCATCTGTAGGCTCAGTGCCCTCCTGTTCCTGGGCCTTGGAAGGCCCTGCAGGGCCCCTTCCCAGTAGCTCAGCTCCCCACTGCAGAAGCAGCTAGGACCCCTCCTCGCTCAGCTCTCCTAGCCCCCAACTCTTGGTTCCTTAAATTCTCTGCTGCAGCCTGGAGGCCTGAATGGCCTGCCACTTAGAACCAAGCCCGATGCGCACTGCCAGGGTGGCTGGAGGAGACTACACAGCTGTGCCACGACTGCCTTGCTCGGGGCCAGTTTCCGCTCCCTGCTTCCTGAGCTCCTGTCCTCAGCTGGAGGGGATGCTTGCAAAGGCCAGGTGGATTGTATCCCAGTGGGCCCTGCTTAAAATACTTCGGAGGGCGGTCTCAGATCCCTGCCCGGGTGGTGTGAGGAAGGGAGGTGTCTTATAGACATTGTTTGAATCAGTGTGGAGACATCAAGCGAATTCTGGCCCTGAACCCTCCACTCCCTCCTGAGCTCGGTGAGTCAGTATCATTATCGGTGGTGTTCAGGGGCCCAGGGGGGATGCCTGAATTTTTCAGAAAAGCCTGATGTGACAGTCACTGCTGGGACTCCTTTGCATTCTACTGCCCATCTCAGCCTCCTTGCCCATGGGGGTGGGGAAGGGCTGCTGAGGGGTTCTCTACCCTCCCCGCAGAGGCCCCCAGCAGGACCGAGCCCCAGTTGTCTGCGAAGGCAACCTGGTCGTTCATGCACCCCTTTTTGGCTTCTTTCTGGTCCCTGCCTCACTTTCCCACTCCCTTACAGGTGCTTGCTGGGGTCATTTTCTGAACAAACTATTTGCATATAAGTCCTTTCGTGCACGGAACCCAGCCTCAAACACTGGGGCGAGCAGTACTGGGCCAGGCATTCTTTCAAGGGCTCTCTCTGTCTCTCTCTCCAGACCCATTCGGTCCTCATAACAATGCTGTGAGGCAGGTGCTGTTGATATTACTCCCATTTCACAGATAAAGAAACTGAGGCACAGAGAGGCTGGGACACTTGCAAAGGTCACACAGCAAATAAGTGGGGGAGGCACGATCCACATCAGCTGTCTGACCTCAGAGGCACAACTCTTAAGAGGAAGTCTCCCTGTTATCTGGCCGAGGAAATCGAGGCACAGAAAGGCTAAGGTGCTCGCCTAAATCGCACAGCTACACACTGAGGTGCTAGGATTACAGTTCCAGAGCTGGGACGCTTAGCTGCCTTGCTTGCCTGTTCCTCACGCTGATCCTGGTCTGTGCCCTCACTGGGAGGTGCTGGGCGCCACGTTGCCCCACGGGCTGCCTGTGGTTCTGTGTACCACACACGGCAGGCAGAGCCTGCTGGACCAGCACTACCTGGCTTACTTATTATGTAAGGTGAGATCTGCTGACTGAAGAAAACCACGCACCCACGAAGATATGCATCAAGTGTTCTTCTCCGAGCCATTGGTCCTCCATCCTGCCAAGGGTGCCGCAGCAAGAGGGGTGACTGTCTCCTGATGTCGGGGGCCTCTACCTGTATGGTCCTCTGCTCAGCATGGAGATCAGAGATGGCCAGGGAACGGGTCCTGGGGTCACCAGCGTCACTAACTGGGCAGTCACTAGGTGTCAGGCCTCTCCTGGGGCTTCAGGGGCAGGGGATATCACGGGTGGCTGCTCCTGGCTTGTCACCACTTCCCGAACGAGGGAGCGAGGGAAGGGATGCCCCCTTGCAGGATGTGGGCTGGAGAACGAGCACCTGTGCCTGGTGAGAGGAGAACATTCCCGTTTTCCTGACAGGGACATCCGAGGCTGGGAGAGGTTGTGCTCTGGCGCAGGGTGACACAGGGGGAGGGTGACACGGGTGCAAGGACAGGACTGGGATTTGGGGCTTCCTGATGCCACACCCACACTCTTGCTCTCCCATCACTGAGCCAGGACTGGAAGCAGGGGGAGCTGCGGGTGTGGAAGGACAGGGGAGGTGGGTAGCTGGCAAGGGGATGTCGCCGGCTGTGGCTGGAGTGAGGACAGGGCCCCAACGGGGTGGAGGTGTCGCACGGCTGGGCTGCCCTTCGCTGGGCCCCACGAGTCCAGGCTGCCCTCTCTTCTACTCAGAGGTCTCTTATGTATTTGAAGCTTCCCCGGAATTGTCTTTTATCCAGGCTGAACGTCTCCCTCCTCCTTCTGTCCCTCTCATGACAACACAGTAAACCTCTGGGAAAGACAGCAGTGGTTCTCTACAACCCTTCCAGAATGTGCTGTCCAGAGCTCCCTCAGGTACCCAGGGCTAACTGCCCACAGAGAGCTGAGGGCATTTTTCACCTGCCTACTCCATGATTCCTATCGGTGTGACCAGGTCCCCATTCTCTTCCCAAGGGCCAGCCATCAGTTGAGGCCCTCCGTCTGGTTCCAGCTGCCATCCCCTGGAAACTGGACTCGGGCTGCTGGTTTTCCTGGACAGGTGCAGGCTTTGTCACTTGGCCTTGTTGCATTTGGCTTTGACCTGCTGGAGATCCGGCTGTCCTCCTTCAATCCCTGCTCCCCTCCCCCTTTGCATGTGTGACCTTCTGCTTCTAGGAACCTCCAATCACACCCTACTGAGAACGTGCAACGTGCAAGGGTTATTGCGTCAGTTCTTATCAGGAGCCTTTATCTCAGAGGTTCATCTCTTCTCTCTGTTCCTAGTAGCTCATGCTGACTTTCAGGTCCTCAGGAGGAGGGGGGCAGAGACCTCAGCAGAGGGGTGTGTGTGGGGGCACCTGGGACCCTTGGTGTGAGGCCTCCCAGCTGTCCCACGGGGCATTGCCAGGGGACAGAGAAGCTGACTGGATTGGGAAGGGACCACTTTGCAGAGTTCTCACGTACCTGCAAAGCTTATCTCCTGATCCCTCATGCTATCTGCAGATTTTGTTAAAACAGCAAGGGGCCGACCAGCTCCCCCCGAAAAAGACAAGACCGCCTCCCTCTGCCAGTATCCGTAGCATGTTCTCCTGCCCCAGGCAGGTCAGGGAAGGGGCGGGTGGGGGGTGGGGGGGTGCGGAATGAACACCTGTGCCAGGCGGGAGGGAGAGGCCCTGGGGAGGGGGCCATGGCAGCTCGTACCCCATCTCTCGCTCTCCCCACTGTATCCAACAGCAATGTTTCTCAAACTTTGGGAAGCATCGGAATCATATGGAGGGCGTGTTGAAACACAGGCTGGGCTCTGACCCCAGACATTAAGACTTGGTAGCTTCTGGGGTAGGCCTGAGAGTCTGCATTTCTACAAGCTCCCAGGGGTTGCTGCTGCTGGTCCTTGGGCCACGTTTTGAGGAGCAGCGTCCTGCAGGGGAATCAGTGGTTCAGGAAGCGCTTTCCTGCTTTACTTTCCCAGAAAGGGCAGGGCCAAGTTCACCAGCACCCTGTCATTTATTTACCCACCAAATATTTACTGAACGTTTACCCTGTGGCCCGAGCTCGGAGTACAGCAGGGAACGGGGCAGTTGTGGTTCCCTGCCCGAGGGCACGTACACGGTCTTGGGGCACAGATATTAAACACTTGAATCTCAAAACTTCCCTTCGAGGAAGGCTGAGCAGAAATCATTTTCCCTATTTTTCAGGTGAGGAAATAGCATCGTGGAGAGGTCACATGACTTGCAGAATGGAAGTGGCAGAACCTGAGCTCAGGACATTACTCAAAATGGGACTGTGGCACCATGGCGGTGAGTCATCTCTACTTTATGGGGTTGGGTTTAGGGGGCCGAGCTACAGGCCCCGGTGTCAGTAGGGGGATTCACCCTTATGTATGGAAGGAGAGCTTGACAGATAGACAGACACTTCCATGCCCACACCCACGACTCTCAGTTCCCAAGAACTACATAACTGCAGGGTTTCCCAGTGACTCACTTCCCCTCCATTCCTCTCTGTTCACTAATTTCTCTCCTTTCATTTCCCCTAAAGTTTGTTTTTCCTAGGCTCTGGCATTTCCTCAGTGTGATATTTCCTCCAGGGTGTGATGCCTCCCCCAACCAAGATGGCAGCCTCATCTCCATGGCAACCCCCAGAGACTTTGCCTTGGGGACCCAGTTGCAAATTGCAAAGCCCCTTTCCTGAAGCCTGGACCAGCAAGGTCTCTGTTTGAAGATGGGGTCTGCGGGCCCCATGGCTGGAAACTCTCGGCTCACCCCACCTCTGTACACTCTAGCTGGCACTGCAGCTGGCCCTGATCAGACTTGGTGAGAGGAGGTTTCCCCTGAGTCAACAATCTCACTTCTCTGTTCTTCTCATGCACCTTCCAGAAGGACCTCAAGCTCTCCAGGGGCAAGATGGAACAGCTGGCCCTGACCCCCGCTGGATCAGCCAGGCTCATTTTTCTGGATCTCCCATCCCAAAGCTTGCTCTACCCAAGGACCGTTGCAGAAACAAACAGCTCTGTTCCGCCCAAAAGATCCTTCATATGTTTACAGGTTTTAAAAGCATATCATTTATGGTAAATTTTAAGGACATAAAAATTGTGGCGATGTTGATGAGAGGATATTTTGTTGCAGTGGCTGGAAAATACACAAAACCATAGCAATTTCCCTGGAAGTTCAGACGGTAGAGATTCTGTCTAGAGTGGCCACCAAGCATGGTGTGCTGGGATTATCTCATTTAATTCTCCTGGCAACTCCTTGGCGAAGTTGCTCTTGCCGCCCAGGTTTACAGAGAAGGAAACTCTCCAGGAACAGGCAGCGGGCGAAAGGCAGAGAGAGGATTTGGAGGCAGGACTCTGCTCCCAAAGTGTGTGCACCTTCACCCACACCTGCCTGCCTCTGATTTTGCCATTTGACCTACATCAGGAATAAGCCCCGAGGCAGAAATTTCAGGTCATCAAGAAAGTTATGCCTTCCGTACAGAGCAGAAGCTGATCCATCAGAGTTACTCCGCTGCTCTTTTACTTTCCGTTCAAAATAAAATATAACACAACACTCAGATATTATCACTGTGCCTGAGTGGTTTTAGCCCTCTACCTGCAAGATGACTCTGGGCAGATCTAGATCACTGCTTTTTTTTTTTTTTTTTTGAGATTAGACACAGAAAGGGGTAGAAGATTGCATTTTCTAAAGTTGCCTGCAACAGTATCTGCCATCCACGTAGTCTTCTTCCAGTGGAACCTTGACACCCCTTCCCTTGAGGAGGAGGGTCTACGTCTCCCCTGTATCCAAACCTGGAAAGACCTTTGTGATTGCCTCGGCCAAAAGAGAATGGTAGAACTGTTGCTGTAGGACGATAAGACTGTCATGCACTTCCTCCTGGCTTTCATGGCATGCTCACTCTGGAACTCAGCTGCCGTCTTATGAGGAAGCCTATATCGTCATGTGCGGAAACCACATGGAGAGGCCAAAGAAGGTGTCCCAGCTGACAGCTGCATCATCTGCCAGGCATGAGCCAAGATGCCTCCAGATGCTTCTAGCCCCCACCTGTCAGGTCACTCTCAACTTTGTATCTTCCCAGCAGAGGTCCCCAAAATCATGGAGCAGAGACAATTCTCCCTGCTTTGCCCTGTCCAAGTTCTGCACCGCAGGACCTGTGAGCATCATAAAGTGGATGTTTTACATCACTGGGTTTTGGGGTTGTGTGTGACGCAGCCGTGGTAACTGGAAGAGAAGGTATTGGCTTACACTCAGGTGTCTGTCTCAAGGGGGATAGTCTTGTGGCCTTTACTGCACCCTCTCTTGGAGCAGATGTGATTGGTAGAGATGGTGCCCCATCAGCCCCATGACTTCATTGGAGGCAGATTGGGTGGACAAACACTTCCTTGTTCTTTAGTTACAATAAATTAATATATTTTACTTGCTTCCTTGTTTATTATTTCCCATTGGCTAGAATGTTGTTGCCCTGTGGATGGGATATTTTTCCTGTTGTGTTTGTTACTGTATTCTCAGAGTCCAGACTAACACTTGGTTCTTCGTAGTTGTGCAATAAATAATTATTGAATGAATGAGTTAATGAAGATGAAACTTAAGTGGGCACAATTTTTGGTAATGATTCCTCAGGAGAATTCTGTTAACTTTCCACAGGCTAGTTGTTATGATAATGTAACATTAATTTCTGGACAATGTCTAGCTCACACTGTGGTGGGAATTTCTTGAGAATTGTAGTAGAGAATAGGATAGAGAAGAGATGAGAACAGAGAATAGTTAACGGAATTGAGTTAATAGTTAAGAATAGGTAAGAGTCCCAACATTTTCTCTAAATTAAAAAAATCGTTAAATGTATACGAGTGGTAGGGGGGCTTTGGGTGTAAACTAAAGAGTTTGTTCAAGATGTTTCTGGACTTTCTCTAAAGGAATGTAGAATCAGTCAACAAATAAGAATCGATTCAAGCAAACTTTGTTGCCTGGCATGTTCTGGGTGTCATGGGGTCCACAAACAAGTGTAAGGTGGGGACACTGTCCTCGAGACAGCGTTGAGTCCAGCTGAAACCTGTGAGGCAGCCAACCCAGGTAGGCAAGTGAGGCCCAGGGCTAAAACCGATCGGGTTTCAGCAGCTGAGGTTCCTGAGGATGAGGGAATATCAGAGAGGACTTCTTGGAGGAGGCAGGTCCAGGCAGGCAGCTTCCCCAGGCACTGACTTAGAGGAACACTGAAACCCCATAGGGATTTATCAGAAATCTGCCTGTTAACTTGGGTTTCCACCTGTAGATTCTCACAGAGCTGGTGGAAAGGAAATTCGTGTCCTTTTGTCAAAACTCTTAAACAGGTAAGTAAGTACTTACATAGGTAATACCCTTAAATAGAAAGAAAACCTTCTCCTCCCTAGCGTGGGCATATGTGCTGGAGGGTAGGGGCTAGGGGGTAATCTTGTGATGTACATTGCAAGTTGCTGCACCCACTGGCCCGTCTGGGGGGCCCTGGAGTGGGCATTGCCGGTCATTCCAGATTCTGAAACCAGCTAATGCACAACAAAGGGCTGTTTACCAAGATCGTAGCTGCAAGCCTTTAAATGTCTCCTAAACAGAGAGAACAATACAGAGAGACTTGTCTGCTCCCCCAGCAAGTCAATGTGCTGCTGGTGACGGAGGGATGCGTGCTGGTTCTCTATCACATGCCCGAGAGGAGAACCAGGAGAGGAAAGACCGTTCCAAAGAAACTAGAGTTCTGTTTGCTGCATGAAATATGACTCCATTTTTATTTGTGGGGAAACAATTTTCTTCCCATCCTAAGTTGACATTAAACAAATACTGGAAGATGATTAATTTAAAGCATGCCAAGTGTTTCTGGTCCGCACTGCAGACAGGACGGTCTCTGCCGTCTTATGAGGAAGCCTATATCGTCATGTGCGGAAACCACATGGAGAGGCCAAAGAAGGTGTCCCAGCTGACAGCTGCATCATCTGCCAGGCGTCTGTCAGAGATCACAGATTTTACCTCCCGAGACTTCTACTGGCTTCTTCTGAGGAGAGTGGGTTATAGCACCATAGGAAGTGGGATGCCTTGGCCTGGGGTAAGTGGGTATAGTGATGATTAATGTTATGTGTCAACTTAGCTGAGCCACAGTGTCCAGATATTTGGTCACTTTTCTGGATGTTTCTTTGGAGGTGTTTTTGGGGAAGAGATTAACATTTAATCAATGGATTGCCCTCCATAATGTGGGTGGGCCTCATCCAATCAGTTGAACACCTGAACAGAACAAAGACTGACTCTCTTCCAGAGAGAGGGCAATCTGCTGGCAGATTGGACCGGAACTGCAACTCCTCCTGAGTCTCCAGCCCACTGGCCCTATCCTATCAGATTTTAGACTCACCAAGCTTCCAAATCAGGAAAGAAGTTGAAGAAGAAATCTCAGGAGGGACTTCCTCTCTCCTTCTCCACCCACCATCCATCTGAAACGCTTTCCTTCTTTGGGAGGTATAATGAAACAATGATACTTTTGTTTTTATAAGTGTATTTATATTCAGGGCTTCCTACCTATATGCTTGTCTTCACTGGGCATTTTTCTGAGAGTTGCCTGGTGGCTTTGGGTGGGGATGGATGGAATGTATTGTACATTTGCCACTCATGTTTACAAAAATATTTTTCTTTAATGGCTTTTCATTTAGCAGCAGGGGCTTGAGAAACAAAATCAGGTCGTTAAGTGAGGAATGGGCAGATAATCGTGCCTGCTTGTCTACTGCATGTGGACACGACATGCCCAGGGTCCCCAGACACACACACACGGACAACACATGCAACTTTAGTCACTACATCCAGACAGATGTGACCCCAGATGAATGTCAACCTTTTATTGATAACAAAGCAGCAAGGTTGGGGGAGGTTTCCAAGACCCCAAGGGCAGGCCTGTCTCCATGCCAGTGTGCGTGTGTGTGTGGAGTGATCTGTGAAGCTGGGAGGTCCAACCCCGCAGAGACAGGAATACAGAGACAGCAGAGCCTCGGATAGGCCGGGCACTGGAGAGGAGTCCTCACAGGCCATGTTGAGCTCAGCTCCCAGGAACAGCAGGTGCTCTGGGCTCAGGCAGTGGCTGGGGGCTGCACCTGCTATGCTGGGCTTTCAGGAGGGGCTGCTAAAGCCATGGGCACGTCCTCAGCTGGGTCCAGGTGCTGGAGTCGGGAGAGGAAGTAAGAGCCAGGCTACTTGCCTCCAGGTCGCCCTGAAGCCCCTGCGATCCCATGATCCTTTCAGATCCTTCCAAGCCTGCTCCCCTTTGACCCAGGCCTTCCCATCGGCAGGCCAGGCAGCAGTTGCCTGACCCTCAGACCTTGGGCTTTGCGCTGAGTTCTGCTTACAGCTGTGGCATCCCCTGGAAAGAAGGTTGCCCAGCAGCCGTATCTGGATTCTAGAGCTGGCTGTGACCTCAGACTCTGAGCCTCACTCTCAACTGAGACCCGGGCATCATAATCCCTTTCCTGCCCCCTGGAGGCCTGTCATGAGGGCCAGGGGCATGAGCTGTTGCAGGCATCCTCTACAGCAGAGACTCAGCTTCCCAGAGGCATCACCCTGGAGGAATCCCAGAGCAGCATCCCCAGCTTAGATCCAGAGGGGCTCGCCCTGGCCCCTGCATAGAGTCCCCCCCCACCCAGTGTAGACCAGTGGGGCTCACCCTGGCCTTGCACAGATCCCCCCAGTATAGAGTCAGTGGGGCTCACCCTGGCCACTGCACACGGGGTACAGGGGAGAGGTGTCTGTCCCCTCCCCCCACCCCAATGCTCGTGTTGTCCCTCCTCCCTTTGCTTACCCCATCCAGGCTCTGGGGACAGGGTGTAGGTGCTCCTGTCCTGTCCCGCCGAGATCTCACTGGCCACGTGTAGCAGAAGGTGGCCCAGAAGCCCAGGAAGGTGGTCAAGGAAGTGATGCCCAGCTCCAGGATGGAGCAGAGAAGCAGCGGGACCAAGAGACTCTTCTGGGGCACCTGGGAAACCAGCAGCAGGAAGGCCCTCAGTCTGCGCCCCTGGGAGTCAGTCAGCAGATCTGACCAGGAAAGCACGCACTCGATACTGGGCTGAAGACTGGTATGGGGATAGGTAAAGGAAGAGAAGCTTCCAAGGAGGGGACAGCCATCAGCCATCAACTGAGCACCTGCTACGTGTTCATTTAAACCCCAATCACTTTTTTAGGTAGATGCTATTTTTAGCCCCATTTCACAGACAATGAAAGAGAGGTTCAGAAAAACAGCCACGCACTTGTTACGAAGAGCATCAGGTATTGCATGTAAGTGACGAGTCTCTAAATTCTATTCCTGAAACCAATATTATAGTATATGTTAACTAACTAGAATTTAAATACAAATTTGAAAGAAAAAAAGTAAAGTGATTAAAAAGTCAAAAAAAAAAAAAAAAGGAAGGAAAGAAAAGAAAGAAAAAGAAAGAAAGAGGAAAACAAAGCCACACAGCTGGTAAGTTAAAGCTGTCCAGTTCCAAATCCGTGATCAACCACTCAGACAGACTTCCCACAGCAAAAAGGGTAGAGAGGTCAAATAAGCAAATACACAGAAGAGTGTCCCCAGTGTATTTGGCATTAGATCCCTGGTGACCTCCACACCAGAGCTGGGGAGCGGATGGGAGGTGAGGTGGTGTAGACAGTGAGAGAT